TGGTTGGAAGTAATTTGGAATTGCATTCAGGTGGTATAGTAAGTTATTTTGAAGAGATAAAACAATTACCATGGTAGAAGATTGATTTTATTGGCCTAACATTAATAGAGATATGGCTAACAATTGCTACTGTCATATTTGTCAAATCTATAAACAATTACCTGCTTGTAACCCATTAACCTTGAGGAGAAATAAGCATGGACTTTCTAGTTGGTTTGCTGAAAAACAACTAGAAGCTATGATCCAATAGTTTTGGTAGTAGATCTTTTTTTGAAGATGGCTCATTAGATACTTTAGAATGAGCTACTTCAATTTCTAGAAAGTACTTCAGTCTCCTAAGTTCTTGTATCTTGAATTCTTTGACTAGGCATTTTCTGACTGCTTCTTTCTCTTTCTCATAATTTTTTATCACAATTATGTCATCGACTTATACAAAGAGAGTCATGATTCCCCTTGAATTCCAGTATGAATGACTCTATGATCTCCTGATTCTGTTTTATCCAGCTATAAATATTATTTTTGAAAATCTTTCAAACGAAGCCCTTGATTATTGTTTAGACCACCGTTTCTTAAAATCTGCACACTTTATTGCTCTTAGCTTTTCCTCAAAGTCTGGAGGGATTTCCATGTGTATCCCTTCCTCCAAATTGGATCTTCTTCCTTCAGTCTCGTCTCTAGGATATGACTTTGTTTCCTTGTCCCTTGAAATAGGTTTGCATGAATTGTTACCATTTAAGATAATTCTTCCCATTCAATCTATATGCTGTTTAAATATTTTTTGCAGCTATATTATTAGTTGATTGATGAGAACTTCCCTGGTCCAGTCAGTGATGTTGAAAAATGAGAGCATCTTTGTCATTTCTGACATCTTCTCCGGAATTGGTAGGATCTCCTCTTTTAAAGATTTGACAATAGAGAGGTCCAACAAGGATTTTGATTGTTAAGGTTGTGGACAGACAATTCAAGTCTAATGAAGGAGCCACAAGAAAGGCTGATGTCAGCTGTGCAGCTGGAGCGACTTCAAGGATGAATGCATGAGTAGACTAACAAAAAACAGGAACAAGGCTAAGATAAGGGAACTGAAATTGGGGTAGGTTTAGGACTCTGATACCATATGAGATTTAGGAAGAAACCAGATTTCTTTACATTGAGAAAGAGCATATTCATGGATATAGCTATTACAAAGAGAAAAAATAGGAACTAATCACAAGAAATCAAATCAAATCAGATCAAATATATTATCAGGTTACATTTCTAACAGATGTCCCATATTTTTAGGGGAATTAAGGGATTCTCAACAAAAAGTATGATGTAGATCCATAAAGGATGGTGGCCTTGGTATTGAGAATTTTTTCTCTAAACATCTAATATAAACCTATGGAAATTCATCAGTGACATCAACCACCTCATCGCCTTTGGATAAAGTGGTGTTAACTAGCTTCATTGTGGGTAAGCCCCATGGTTGTTTTGGGGGATTTCTCCTTCCCTATTGCAAAGGATTGAGATTCTTTATTGTGACAGTGTTATCATTTCTTTAATTCCTTAATTTTTTCACTTCTGAAAAAAGACATTTACTTTTTGGCAGTCCTATCTTCTTTGTGAGCCTTCTGAAGCCCTTGTTTTGTTTTTTGTGGGGGGAGGGGGAGGGGATTTCTTTGTCGATATTGCGAACGGATTGAGTTGCTTTATTTTGCTGGTCTTATCATTTCTTTAGTTCCTTTATTTTTTGAGTTCTATTTTGCTCTAGGAGTATTTATCCTCTCTTATCTTGCTGAGAAGCTATAGGGTTGTGTGATCTTTCCGGAACTCTTTTATTTGTTTACAGATTACTTTTCTCTTGTAATCTTAGTAAAATATTCTTTTTTTTTAACTGTTGACTTGATTCTTGCAGGGCATCTTAATTAAAACGCCCATCCAGTGGCCTCTAAATAAGGGTTTTTCTTTTTCATGCTGGCTTAGGGTAGAAAGCTTTCCCAAAAATGGGACAGTTGGCCTTTTCAATTTTCTCACTGAAAGTGGAAGAGGGTGCTTGGCAGTGCTTGCAAACAGCAAGCTATTTTATGCGGTAAAATATGTTGTTTGAAATCTTTTGTGAAGCCTAATTCATATCTTTAGGAATTATGTTTCCAATATTATTGCCCACTTTACTGTGAAAATTAAAATGATTGTTTTTCTTGTCTTCCGTAGTCAATCAATTTGAAGCGACAGTGTGTTCAAATGTCTGTTAATCTAGCAAGAAAGAAATGGCATTTTCTTTGCATAACTCACAGTATTGGGAGACCATTTTCTGGTGGTAGTCTACTGAGGTGTTATATTGATGGCGATCTTGTATCATCTGAAAAATGCAGGTAAGTCTCTATTGGGCAGTCTTTCTCTAAAATGCACTTCTATTTTGAATTTGGAAAATTTGCTCGATCATTTTATTTTTTTCTAATGGGGACATGTTTCCTCTTTGATTTTGATGATTCAGCTATCCAAAAGTAAATGAACTGTTAACCAATTGCACAGTTGGCACAACTGTTTTTCCTCATAACGTAGAAGATAATGCTCCAGATTTCATCCAAGATTCATTTCCATTTTTCGGGCAGATTGGTCCTATTTATCTATTTAATGATGCTATCTCTTCTGAGCAAGTCCAGGCTATCTATTCTCTTGGACTGAGCTATATGTATTCCTTCCTTGACAATGAAACTGCACCTTTTTATGACACCCCATTGCCTAGTGGGATTCTTGATGCTAAAGATGGTCTTGCATCTAAAATTATATTTGGACTCAATGCTCAGGTTCTCATTCCATTTCTTGAAACTATTTGTTATTTCTGTCTTAATGTCTGGCTACTCTAAGGTGATGGCTTTTTGCAGGCTAGTGATGGCAGGAAATTGTTTAATGTCTCGCGGGCAGTAGATCACGTTTCAGATAAGACTTTATTTGAGGCGAGTGTGATGGTTGGTACACAATTATGTTCTCGGCGCTTGCTGCAACAGATAATTTACTGTGTTGGAGGTGTATCAGTGTTTTTCCCTCTGATAGCCCAATCTGATAGATATGAAAATGAAGAAAATGGACTATTTGAGCGTACATTGATTATGCCTATAGCAAAAGAGCGTCTGACAGCTGAAGTTATTGAGCTTATAGCTTCCGTCTTAGATGAGAATTTAGCAAGTCAACAACAGATGCATCTTCTCTCAGGATTTCCAATACTGGGATTCTTATTGCAATCAGTACAACCTCAGCAACTCAATTTGGAAACACTTTCAGCATTGAAGCATCTGTTCAATATTGTTGCCCACTCTGGTATGTACAGAAAAAGTGCCTGCAAATGGTTTACGAGCAAAATGGTTATTTATGATTTGTTTTTCTATTTTTATTCTTATTTTGTTCATATGTTGATTCTCTTTTTATGTTGGCAGAGCTGCTTGTGAAAGATGCTATATCTAGCATTTTCCTTAACCCTTTCATCTGGCTTTACACGGTTTATAAGGTGCAACGTGAGCTCTACATGTTTCTTGTTCAACAATTTGATAACGATCCAAGACTTCTTAAGAGCCTGTGTCGTCTGCCAAGAGTTATCGATATAATACGACAATTTTATTGGGACAATGGAGCATCTCGATATGCTGTTGGAAGCAAACCTCTTCTGCACCCTATTACGAAACAAAGTATTGGAGAGAGGCCTAGTAGAGAAGAAATTCGCAAAATCCGTCTTCTTTTATTAAGTCTTGGTGAAATGAGCCTCAGGTATTTTGGCAGAGTTTTTTATTTCTGATTTGCGTTCTTGGTCGTCTTTTCTTTGTTGATTAGGCACATTTTGATAGTGAAAATCATTGTTTTCTCCCAACTTTTATTCAATTACTGGAATTTGCAGGCAGAACATTGCAGTGGCGGATGTAAAAGCTCTTATAGCTTTTTTTGAGACAAGCCATGATATGACATGCATTGAAGATGTTGTACATATGGTTATGCGTGCTGTTTCCCAGAAACCAATACTTGCTTCTTTTCTTGAACAAGTCAACTCCCTTGGTGGCTGTCACATTTTTCTCAATCTTCTTCAGAGGTATGCTATGAATATGAGGAGTTTAATATTTGAGGTTAAACTTGGTCTGTTTCTGTCAGAACATACATGGGCAATGTTTATGTCTTTTAATCATTGAAGTAGCTTATTATTGTTGCAAGGCGTTGTTGGAAGTAGTAAGGTGTTTATGAAACTGTTTTTTAGGGATCCTTTTTTTCTCCTATATAAATCTTAGCTAATTCCTAGTTTTAATTTTCATACTAGTCTTGATTATGTTACCACAATTTGATTTTTTTTAAGTTTGACTTACTTTCACACTTGTGATGATCTTGGAAATTGCTTTTTGACTAGAAGTTGAAAAAGCCTATAATGCTGTACTACATTATATAGTTGCAATATGATGAAGAATAAAGATTGTAGAACCACTAACAAAACAAAGCTAAAGGCGATGCATGGAAAGGTGAACAACCAGGACACCCACATGATAAAAGCCAGAGATTATTTTTATATAATATTGAAAAATTGAAGTAAATCTAGATTTGAGCAAAATGCTTGCTTTATTTTCGGATAGTGAAGAGCTTTATTCTGGAATATTGAGGGCAGGAAGTTAACAGAGAGGATACAACCTTATGCCAAAGAAACAGAGAGGATTCACCTATGTGGTATACTGTTGATTGTTCCATTTCAATAGGCAAAAAGAGATCTGTTTTTCACAAGGGTTATCATCTCTCCCGCATCATCTATGCATTATGGGTTTGGACCAAGTATCTTATTACGGTCCCCAAATGTTGTTTTCGTTATGCATAAGTGCAATAAGCTTTTAGAGTGTTGGTTGAATTTCTCTCTTTATGACCTATGGTTAATAGTGGTAAGGGCTCATGTTGAGGGATCTCTCTGATATCTTGGATATGGAGATAAAGGTTCTTGAGAGATAACTCTTTGATCTCTTCAGGAAAAATTCTGCTTTCATTAGAACAAATTATACTTATATTTTTGTGGCCTGTATTGCTTATTTTTCCACTTCTTAGGACAAGATCAGATCGTGAACTACTGGCCTAACTAGGTTATTAATACTCAATAACTAGAGAAACTAATTCTCCCCTCTATGGAAAAAAGAATCTAAGCATCAGAACAATAAATTTACACGTGCAGGAAACTGGTCGTCTTTCTTTCTCTTTCTTCCAAATGTGTGCCTCTTAAAGCTAACCCACTAAAGAGATCTCAGCACTATGTATCCTGATTTGTTTGACAATTCTTGATTCCTAACATCATGTTCCCTGCAAGGGTGTGGTTGTCTAAGCTGCCAAGTACGGTCACTAGTTTGACCATTGTTGGTTCATAAAATATTCCCAATTAAATTTAAAGGAATAACTTCTCCTTCAAAACGATCACATTTTTCACATTACAGATTCATTAGTAGTCGAGATAATAGATAACAAAATCCAAGGTATGATCTGGCTTCTCTCCATGTATGTCCCTGTTCCATCTGATATCAACAATCACACCACATGACCAGCTAATTCCCAGCGCATTCACAACTTGGACTGAGTTAGGTCCCACGATTACCCATTCCACTGATTCTGATTGAGCATGTTGGAGGCTACTCTTACTCTTATAGTTACCCATTTAATGAGGTTCCTTGGTACCTTTTCGACATATTTATTTGTTTTTTTTTTCCCCTCAAGAGGGAAAAGAAAGACATTTTTTAATATTTAAATACTGTACAGGGACCATGAGCCTGTCAGATTGCTTAGCTTGCAGTTTCTTGGAAGACTTCTTGTTGGGTTGCCATCTGAGAAGAAGGGGCCAAGATTTTTCAACCTTGCTGTTGGAAGATCCAAATCTCTTTCAGAATATCATAAGAAAATTAGTTCGAGGATGCAACCAATTTTCTTAGCAATGTCTGACAGGATGTTTAAGTTTCCTCAGACTGACAGTTTATGTGCCACCTTGTTTGATGTTCTTCTTGGTGGTGCTAGTCCCAAACAGGTATATTTCTTCTGCTTCTGTTTGGTTTAGTTAGTTATTTTAGCTGCCCTTGTCTCTGAACTGGTCATCTTTGAAATTGGTACGTATAGGTGTTACAGAAACAGAACCAACTTGATAAACAGAGAAGCAAAGGAAGCAACTCACATTTTTTCCTTCCTCAAATTTTAGTTCTCATTTTCACATTCTTGTCTGGCTGTGAGGACGAATATCCAAGAATAAAAATACTTAGTGACCTACTTGATCTGCTGGATTCAAATCCTTTAAATATTGAAGCTTTGATGGTATGAGTCTGTCTGTTGTTGCTAAATATGTATTCTTACTGTTGATATTACCATAGATCTGGTTTTAAACTGCTAATATTTCCAATATTTCAATTAGGAGTATGGCTGGAACGCCTGGTTGTCAGCTACCGTGAAGCTTAATGTAATAAAAGACTACAAATGCAAGTCATGGGATAGACAAAGTAGCAGCAAGATAAATGAGCAAAACTTCGTGAGAAGTATATTTTGTGTTGTTCTTTGTCACTATATGCTTTCTGTAAAAGGTGGTTGGCAACAAGTAGAGGAGACTGTGAATTTCCTGCTTTTCCATTGTGAGCAAGTAAACCAAAATCCTGCTACTACCTAAATTTCTTGTACTCTGTTTAATCATTTTGTATATATTGATAGATGTTGGCATGTCAAACTTTTCTCCCTCAGGGTGGCATTTCATACCAGCATTTGCTTCGTGATATATATGAAGACTTGATCCAGAGGCTGGTAGACTTTTCTTCTGAGGATAACATCTTTATTTCACAACCATGTCGGGACAATACGTTATATCTTCTGCGGTTGGTTGATGAGATGCTTATCACTGAAATGGACGATAAGCTCCCGGTATTTGACTTATTCATGTTGTTGCCTTAAATGCTGTAGAAGTTTATATATTCTTTGAGAGGAGTAGAGGTTCATATTCTTATCAAGCAGTGGGAAATACACTATAAACTTCAGTTACTACACAAGCATAGCTGACCTTATAGCCATCAATACATTTCAACTCTGGCTTGCTAGGATAATTTATGAGTGCATTAGAGTTTATTGTTAGGATAATTTTTGAGTGCGTCAGAGTTTAGTAATTGCACTTCATTCATTATGATTTTGTGTGTACAGTTTGTCTGAATAGTACCCAGTATGACTGGTATGAGATACTGGAAAATGTCATCTTTACTTGCCTTTGGATTTGTTTCTTCCATGAATGATCCAATCTTTCCTTTTTAATCTATAATGACATGGCTTAGATGCCACTTTACTCTAGCAAGTTTTGATCATTTCTGCAAACATATATTGGCCTGTAGGTGGAATAAGTTGCTAACGTGTACTCGGAAGTCAAAAGATATTAATTGGTGTATCTAAAAAAATCAAGATACTTTGATTTTTAGGTTTCATTATTGCTAGTTATAGTTCATTTAATATGTTGCTGTTCTTCCATAAATTAGTTCTTTCAAAGGCATTCTTTTCAGTAGTTTGACTGGATTCATTCCTAGTTTTATGTCTTTTGCTGTTCTTCCATAAATGTTTCAATGACTTGCTGGAACATTTTCTTTCCTTTTCCTGTTTAGTATATGGAGGTAGCATGGATTTTGAGAAAGGATTCCTGGTAGTAGTTGGAAGTTTTGAAAGAGTAACATCTTATGCAATTCATATTCATGACATATATTC